TTACATCTGTCATTTTCTACAATAAGAGATCGGTGTGTCTCCTTTTCATTTTAGCAAACCTTTGTATAATTTCTTGAGTGTCAATTTCTATTTCTCTGTGTATATTCAATAATGCTAATCCACATAGCCGATTTTGTCCCATTTTTGAGCGCAACCAAGTTTTTAATCTACAGAATAAGCAAGCATGTAGCAAACATTCAAATCATACAAGCAGATTAGCGTGCACAAGCGGATGCAATTATAATAGAAAATAAGCAAATTTAAAAACTACCTTCTTAATGTTGAAAATGATCTTTCAGCTGAAGCAACGCTAATGGGCAAACATGCAATTATTAAAAGTAGCCTCTTAATATTGGGATATATAACTTCACAGCAAATGTCAGCAGATGTAATAGCATCTAAACTTTTAATATCATATTTCCCTAAAACAAAAATTACATTTTTTTATTGGTAATACATATATTGTTGAATAAACCTATAGTAAGTTGATAAACATTTATTCACCTTCATTTTTTTCCCTTTTCCACTTTGATTTCCAGAGAGATAGCTCTGACTTGAGTTCTAGTTCACTCATATTACAATCTTGAAAAGAAAAATATTTAATGAATAGTTTAACTAACTCATTTTCATCCTCACTATCCGCCTCAATAATATTTCTTGGCATTAATTTTGATAATTTCAAAACTGCTTGATTTTTTTCATTTAAAAACCTATTTTTGAGATCATCTAATACATTATCAAGCAAAGGAATGTAAATTGACACTCTGTAATAATCCTCTATAGTACTTGTTTGGTAATTTGATCTTGCAGTTTGACGACATACTATTCGAGGCTTTTTTATTTCTATATCATGCTTTATCATTTCTTTTTTGCATTCTTCAAATATTAAGTTGAATTCCTCAGAGCAATTGGTTCTTTTATTTTCCAAGTTATCAATGACATCATGTATAATTTCTGTAGAATTACTTATATCCGAGTTGACATTTTGTAAAATTTTACTTACAGCAACTGTAACACTTAATAATGAGGCAAGTGTAAACAATGATATTATAAATTCGCAAGCACATAAAGCAGTTAATAGTGTTTTAGCTTTTGATGAAGAGTCTTGTTCATGCCATGATGAAATAGAAGTTAAGGCTTCTAAAATATATGTTAATGATGACTGAAAAATTATAATACTGTCTTGTCGTTCAATCCATCGGGTTTCACATAGACTTTTGAGTCGTGGATTTCCCTTCAGAACTGTAAGTAAAACGTAATTTCGTTTGGATGACATATTAAAAAATAAAATGACTTCTTTTATTAGCCCAACACTATTTCGAATAGCTTGAACACTTGACGATTTTGATATTGATAAATTTAGGGAATGGTTTGAACAAGGAGAATAAACGGCATGAGGTGCATAAGACTGGACAAATTGAACTGCACCGCGCAGGGTGGATGTCATTACAGAACAACCATCTGTAGCAATTCCAACACAATTTAAGCAATCTAAATTTAACTCTTTAAGTATGGATACTACTGTTTTTCCTAAAACTTCACCTGTCAATTTTGGTTCTAATATAGTTGAGTTTATATCCACAACTTCATCATCTTCACTATCATTATTTGAGGAAAAAGCATGTTTATGACAGTCAATGAATGCTATAAAATTCTCTTTTATAATACCCTTATGGATGTACCTTAAAATGAGACTCATCTGTGAAGTATGACTGATGTCTGTGGTCTCATCAAAAATGATGCTAAAGTATTTATTTTCTTTAACTTCGTCAATAATTTTATTCATAATAAAATGTTTACAGCATGTAATTAAATCATTTTGAATTATTGGGCTAATATAAGTTGCTCTTGCGTTTAATGATTTTAAATGGTCTTCAAGCACTTTATCCCCAGATAATACTCTATACTTTAATAGTTCACGAAAATTACCTTGATTAGTAATTATAGACTTTGGGATTGTAAGTGTACTATCTTCATTGTTGAAAAGTTTTCCAGAATCAAAATTTCCTCTCAGGGGGATATTTTGTCGACCAAGAAAAATGATGCTCTCTACAATTGGTTTCAATCTCTCTCGATTTTCCAAAACAGTTTTTTTTCTATGTGTGAGTGCCATATTGATAACTTCTTTTTGAGGATTTTTGTGATTGCGTAAAAAATAATCTGCGGTAGTAACTGCGTTTATGTGATATTTATGGCTGTTATGAACTGCTAAATCACCTGATTGACCTGAGATTTTTGAATATTTGTTTAATGGTGTAGCTACAAATTTTTGTAGTACTGTACTATTGCATTTTCCTCCTTTATCAGCGAAAAGAACACAATACTTTCAAAATAACCCTCTTTTTTTATTAGAATACATTAGCCAATTATATTTTTCAAAATATGATCTGTTTAGATACCTCTTTCCTTCTTTATTTTTCTTTTTATGTAAACTGAATGGGTATACAAAATCCTTTCCAGGCAAGTTGGACAGCTCTAATAGTTTAGCTTTGTTGTAATCTGATATGAATGCATTAGTTTCCTTTAAATAATCACCAATATCTTCACTAAATTCAGTGCTATTGCCTTCTACAGGATGTTGGACGTGAGCATTATCAATCACTTTTGGTCCTCCTAATTTATAAATATATGTTTTTAATTATTACCCGACATTTGTTATTTAATATTTATATATACAATTTGCATTTATCTATATTTTAAATGTAGTTACCATCTAAAGGTCTGTTTTGTGATGTACTAGTATTAGTCGAAATATTGTCTTCTACAGGATATTTGATGTGGTCATTATCAATCTCCTTTGGTCCTCCTAATTTATGAATATATGTTTTTAATTATAACCTGACATTTATTATTTAATATTTATATACACAATTTGCATTGATCTATATTTAGAATGTAGTTATTTAAAAAATATTGTTACCATCTAAAGGCTTCTCTTGTGATGTACTACTACAAGTATTAGTTGAATTTAAATCTGATAGTAAAAGAGCATTTTAATTTACACTATAATGTGGCTCACGGTCATTATCAATCTTTGATCGTTTTTCTGAAGAAATAAATTATAATTAGGTATATATTTATTTTATTAATTATCCATTAGAGTCATTAGACATTACTTTAATTAAGTAAATAATATCTTTCTTACCTTCTGTCCTTTCTGAATGAGTTTTATTCTGTAACCATTGTGTTAGCATAGTTTTTTGTCCACTCAACTTGCGTTTGCTCATTATAAGATAATAATAATATTAAATTATGACATAATTATTGACAAATATTGATATAACTGCTAAAATATTTGTCAAATGTCAATTGTCATGTCAAGAACTCAATTCTAATAATTAGGTTTTAGGTACCTACTTCAGAAATTTTTTTCGAAAAACGTTTATCTTTTCGTCAAAAAATGTAATGGATAATATTTTAACCGTGATAAGAATATACGGAAGAATATTCTTATCTATCTCAGTGTAAATCATTATCATGATTTTACTGATACCATAGAATACTATAGAAACGACACTCTCCCGAAATCCTTTGTTCTGCCTGAATTAATTTGATAAGGTGCATAACTTCATGTTCTCCCGCTATGCTTACAACATCAATCAGTCCGCTGCCAAAATGAAAAAAAGTGAAGTGGTGGGGGGAGTGTCGTTTCTATAGTATTCTATGCTGATACTATCTTGATAATTCTTAAATCGTAAATTAATTAAATTATTATAAAAATTTATTTAAAAAAATAGTAGATCATAAATTTTTTTTATAATCTTATAATTTATAAGATACCTNCCCCCCCCTCAAATACGTGCCTGAATAAGAAATAGTAATAAATAAATATTTACTACTATTTTGTAATAATTATTTTAGTAAAACTAACGAATAATAAATAAATCGTATAATAATATTTAATTTTAACGAGATAAAAATCAATTCTATATTAAAATTAAATTTGGTATTTAATAAATAGTAGTAAGATATTATTTATTTAAATAAAGATAACAATTTTTTAATAGAAGAATAAATAAATAAATACATTTATTTAATTATGACAATTTTAATGAACAAAATATATATTGATGAATCAAGGTTCAGATAATATATCGGATAGTTCAACGGACAATTTAACTGAAATAGTTGAGGATAGTACGAGGGAAGTAGGCATACAAGTAGAACAAACCGACGAGGTTGCTGCAGTTGTTGCCGATACAAACTGCACCGTTAAAACTGAACAATTAATCGATTTAGATTAGTAAGCCCGAAGCAATATTGAATAGGTTGGTTAAAATAGTCGTCGTGTAAGGCATCCGAAACTATCTGTTGACGATGACGACTGTCGACTGTTCTGTTGTACCTACGTTTGTTACGTAAACGTGATAAACGAATTTATTTATCTATTCGTTTCGTTTACGAGCTTAGGAAATGGAAAGTACAGATTACAATATCTTACGATATACTCCAATAAGAAGTTACAAATAGTTTCAAATTATCAATAATTTTTGAATTAGATTTTAAATTGGCGTGTCATGGTAATAATGCGCGCGTGTCACTCCGTGACACGCGTGACACAGGTTCGCCATCCCTGCCCTATTGATATCTATCCCCAACGCCCACCCCGTAGCTACACCACTATACAATAATAATAATAATAAATAATGGCTATTAATTATTTCTCATTCAGGTATACCTCAAATATACTATTATGATTATATTATCATTTTAATGTTGGATCTCATAAGATGAGCTTCGTATGTTAGTGCGTAATCTTACATTTTAATAGTCTTATGCCGGGTTGCATGAAACCGAACTTTAAATTTATTTAATGAACAGTTTTAACGAGCCGTTAAATCGTTTTACAGAATCGTTTGGGTTGCACAAATCGTACAATAAAAATATATTGGTATTAAACATGATACCGAGGTTAGTGTAGAAATTTAAGTTTATCACAGAAAAAGAGATAAAATCCTATGATCTAGATACTGTATCAACAGCTGTTTGAACTTTTATTTTGAATATGTATAATAACAATAATTGCTAAATTCTACAAATTGTTAATTTGTAGTCTACTAGTCTGTACTTAATCTTTCTTCGGCGTTTTCGGTTCTGTTGTTTTGTACACATTTTATAACTTAAGTGTTTTTTTAGCAATTGTAATTACCTAAATATTATAAAAAATGTCTGAACATAATATAAATGAGAGTCAGTTAAATCAGAAACGTATGAGAGGAAAAAACTTTACTGAAAGGGTAAAAATAATATAATAGCTCATTAATTGACTTGATATTGCCTTTTAAGCTAATTATTGAAAATATTTAAGTAAGTAGTGTTCTTAATAATATTCCTTTAAATGTATACATTCAAAACAAGATATACTATAATATTAATTATGTAGTTATAACATTACTCATAATTATAAATTTATAACTTATAACACTTCATTATAAGTTCATTATATTTTAAATATTTATTTATTCTGTGTTAGACTGATGCAATTTGGAATAACAAAAAGGCTGAGGTATTGTCTGAAATAACTAGCCTCTACAATTTACAACAAACATCAGGCATTCGCATTGACACACAATTAAAAAACTTATATGATACTCTTAAAAGAGATGCTCGAAAAGAGAAAAGTAATGATAAGGTAAAAAAAATTATATTCATTTTCATTTATTGTTATTTTGCTCAATATATTATCCAATTTTTGTTTATATTACCTACCAAACACATATTAAATTACATTTAATGAGATTTGTAGGAGGCTGACTCTTAATAATACTATATTACTATCAATATTTTATATTTAATAACATTTTACAATGTTTGTTAAAATCTAAACAAATTAAATTATCAGCATTAATTAACTTTGATCCTCTATCAAAAATCTAGCTTATATTGTATTATATATGTATAGGTTATCTTTAAACTTAATATTTACTCTGCAATTTAAAGAGGTATTTTTTTTAATATCACAGGAAATGATGCTTTAATAAATTAAATAAATAAAACTGTAAGAATTAAGCATTAATATAATTTTAGTATAATTTATAATATTTTTATATTTAATTGTAAAAATTAATTATTAAATAATAAACATAAATTTGTTATCTGGTTTCTTAAGTGTCAGATAGTAGGACCATTGTTCGCACAGACTCTCCCACTTTGTGAAGGCCTTTAATAAGATTAATTTTAACTCATCCAAGATATTTTGTTCAAAGTTAATCTCATTCAACTTTAATTATAATTTATAAGTCTTCAGTATAGTTGTATATTTACAATGTTTAGGTTCAAATGTACGAAACAGGCGGTGGATCAAATACTAACCTTTTATCAAAAACCACTGAAAAAATTATTGGCTTACTAGGAGACCAAATGGATCCATTAATTGATTCAGTTGATTCTGATACTAATTACAATGACGGTAAGTACCTACAGTATTGAGAGTTTTTAAGAAAACATTGTATCAAAGAAATAGTTTATTAAAATATAGATTTTACTTAATACATTGTATTATTTATTTAGGAGGATTTGAAGTTGTCAATTTATTTTCTGAGAACATAACCGACTTTGAAGATTCAAGTATGTATTTATTAATTATTAGTTAATCAGATATAACTTATAAGTTATAACTAATTAATTACTAATTAAATTTTGAGTTATCAAGATTTTTGACTTATTCAGGTTTGAGTTATTGAGATTTGACTGTATATAGTGCACAGGGGATAGTCCTCTTTTACAGATTACCTTTTACAGTGGCGGTATAAATAAAGTTACAT